TACTCCTCTTTCTTACTCCATGTTCTTTCAGGCCACTCTGCTTTTTGTACTTCCTGTTACCTCTGCCTGGGTTTTCCCTACTCCTCTGCCTAACAAAATCCTACACAGTCTCCAACACCTTCCCTGTGAAAACTTCACGGACTTCCTCTCCCTCAGCCACTAAGCAGGAGTTATTTCTCTCCCAGTTTCCAGAGCTCTTTATGCCCATCTCTTCTTAGTACACTACAAAATAAATAACAAAGTTTTAGTAGGAAAAAAAATGGGGGCAGAAAGAAGCCAGATCAAAGGAGTTTTGAGGAGTGGCCAGGAGCTGAGCTATGATGTGAGAGATACTGTGCAGTGACGGTTTTGCTGTTATTTGGTGTTGCTATTTTGATCATCTTTAGCATTTCTGGCTTTGCCCAGCAGGGTTTCAGGGTGGTGAAAAGAAAATTCCAAGAGGCTGTGGTGCTGTCCAATGCGTCAGTGCTGACAGACCTGTGTCACTAAGGGCTGCCACGAGATGAGCAGTTATTCTGGCCACAAGACCAGTGGGCCTCTATTTTTGGGAGAAAGGGAGAAAGGAGAATGACACATCCTTCTTTTATCTTTAAGAGGGTTTGAAGCCATAGATTGCCTCATCTGAGAAAGGGAAAAGATGAACTGCTTAGGTGGATACCCCCCTCTGTGTGTGTGTGTGTGTCTGTCTTTGTACTGGGGGGTTGAACCCAGGGGTGCTGATCTATATCCCCAGTCCTTTTTTTTTTTTTTTTTATTTTGAGACGGATTCTCCCTAAGTGGTTGAGGCCATCCTTGAACTTGTGATCTCTGGCCTAAGCCTCCCTAGTCACTGGGATTATCAGCATTTACCACTGCACCCACTCCTCCTCTTTCTTCTGGAATCCACAGACTCAATTAATAACTATAAAAAGTGACTGGTTGTTAGTTTTTCTGTTGTCCATTTAATGGACATTAAAGGCCAACTTTGTTTCAGGCACCAAGCCAGGCACTAGGGAGAAAAGATGACTGAAATTGGCTTCTGCCTTCAAGTTCAGTCTATCCAGGAGACCTTGTACCAGTAACAGCAACTACACTTTGAGAGTAGCTGTCATAGTGTGCCCAGGCCACCATAACACAATACCACAGATTGGAAGGGTTGAGCAGCACAGATTTATTTTCTCCCAGTTGTAGAGGCTGAAAGTCCTGGGTTGAAGTCCAGCAGAGCAGTTTCTGGTGAGGGCTCTTTCTGGCTTGCAGATGGCTGTTTTGGGCTCACACGGCCTTTCTATTGCAGAGGGAGGGAGGTTGGTAAGGCACATCTGCGTGTGAACTCTCTGGTGTCTTTTTACAGCAACATAATCCTATCAGATCAGGGTCCCATCCTCATGACCTCGTTTTACCTTAATCATCTCCTATTTTTAAATACATCCACACTAGGAGTTAGGGCTTCACCGTGAGGACTTGGAGAGATACAATTCAGTCCATGGCCGGAGCCTATAGAATACTGTATGTAACAGATTAGTAAATGATCATATCATCTTGGGGAAAGTGGGGATGGATGAACAACCAGCAGGGATGATGCTGGACTTAAGTTTGAGCAGTGCATGTGGTTATTTGCTAAGCAATGGGCGTGCCAAGCCTCAGCTTGGAGGCTCTGGTGGTCTAGCAGTGCTGGTCACTCAATAAGTTATTATCCTGCATGAAGAAAGGAGATTTCTACATCATAAGCCTTTCATTGTTTATATCTTTTTTTTTTTAATGTTTATTTATTTTATTTTTCCGGCAGACACAACATCTTTGTTAGTATGTGGTGCTGAGGGTCGAACCCGGGCCGCACGCATGCCAGGCGAGCGCGCTACCGCTTGAGCTACATCCCCAGCCCCATTGTTTATATCTTTATTCAGTGATGCATCCCTATTCCTCCTATGTGATTTTAAAATTTTATTCTTTTTATACACAACAGTAGAATGTATTTGACATGCATATATGGAATACAACTTCCCATTCTTTTGGTTGTACATGATATGGAATTACATTGGTTGTGTATTCATATATGAGCATAGAAAAGTAATATCCAATTCATTCTATTAACTTTCCTATTCTCATTCCCCCTCCCTCCTTTCATTCCCCTTTGTCTAATCCAAAGTACTTCTATTCTTCCTTGCCTCCCCATTTATTGTGAGCTAGAATCCACATATCAGAACACTCAGCCTTTGATCTTATGGGATTGGCTTATTTCACTTAATGTGACAGTCTCCATCCATTTACCAACAAATTCCATAATTTCATTCTTCGTGGCTGAGTTATATTTCATGGTGTATATACACATTTTCTTTATCCATTCATTTGTTGATGGGACCTGCCTTGTTCCATATTTATCTATTGTGAATTGAGCTGATATAAACACTGATGTGGCACCATCACCATAGTATGCTGTTTTAAGTCCTTTGGATATAAAACGAGTGGTATAACCACATCAAATGGTGGTTCCATTCCAAGTTTTCTGAGGAATCTCCATACTGCTTTCCAGAGTCGTTACTCTAATTTGCAGTCCCACCAGCAATGTATGAGTGTACCTTTTCCCCCCACATCCTTGCCAACATTTATTGCTGCTTGTATTCTTGAAAATTGCTATTCTGACTGGAGTGAGATTTCATCTCAGTGTAGTTTTAATTTGCATTTCTCTAATTACTAGAGATGTTCAACATTTTTTCATGTATTTGTTGACCAAAAGTATTTCTTTTGTGGAGTGTCTCTTCAGCTCCTTAGCTCAATTATCGATTGGGTTATTTATTTATTTGGTGGTGGTGGTTTTGTTTTTTAAGGTTAAGTTTTTTGAATTCTTTATAGATCCTGGAGATTAAGGCTCTGAAGTGTAGGTGGCGAAGATTTTCCCCCATTCTGTAGGCTCTCTTCATGTTCTTGATTGTTTCTCCTGTGTGATTTTTATACCTGTAAGCAGCTTTTAATGAGAGGGTATGTCTGAGGTTTCCTCAAGAGCCTCCAGGTGTTATCCAACTTCTCTGCAGCAGACTTTTTTTTTTTTTAACTTATTTTTTTTAAATACACGACAGCAGAATGCATTACAATTCTTATTACACACATAGAGCACAATTTTTCATATCTTTATATATAAAGTATGTTCATGTCAATTCATGCTTTTATACATGTACTTTGTTTTTTTTCATTACAATTCTTATTACACATATATACCAGTTTTTCATATCTGTATATAAAGTATGTTGACACTCCATTTGAGTCTTCATACTTGTACTTTGGATAATGATGACCATCTCATTCCACCATCCTTGCTAATCCTCTGTCCCCTCCCTTTCCCTCCCACCCCTCTGTCCTACCTAGAATTCATCTATTCCTCCCATACTCCCCCTCCCTACCCCATTATGAGTCAGCCTCCTTATATCAGATAAAACATTTGGCATTTGTTTTTTGGGGGGATTGGCTAACTTCACTTAGCATTATCTTCTCCAATGCAATCCATTTATCGGCAAATGCCGTGATTTTATTCTCTCATTGCTGAGTAATATTCCATTGTGTATATATGCCACACTTTTTTTTTTTTATCCATTCATCCACTGAAGGGCATCTAGGTTGGCTCCACAGTTTAGCTATTGTGAATTGTGTACAGCAAACTTTTTATGCCTCCTGCAAGGATGATTATTTCAAAGATTCAGTAGGTGTCAGATTCAGAAGAGAAGAGTTAGTGTACTTGGATGTACATGTTGCTTTGTAATGGTGGGTGGGGTGTACAGAGTGAGTCAGAAGCTTGCTAGGAGTGTCTCTGCTCTGTCATTTCCTTTCTTTTTGCAGATAACCCTCCTGGACACCAGGCTTCATGAGCGGTCAGTGCTGTCTGTCCCTGTGGGTAGTTTTTAAGGGTCCCTACCTGTGGGAGTAGATATTCTCAGGAGGAAATGTTCTGGGAACTTTGAGGAAACAAGCCACTCTGCTTTGTGTTTGTGTTGTACTTGGTTTGTCTTTTCTGTCACCTGTTCTTTTGGACCCTAATTGTGGTTTGTTGGTGGTCAGGTGATGAGCTTCTTCAAAGTGAGGATTAAATCACATTCACCTCTATTGTAACTTCACTTTTCTTCCAGTGGTGATCACAGTATTCTAGTAGTGATTGCTTTGGGGTAACTGGTACAAGTTTTGTGTATTGAGAAAAAGCTTGCTGGGTGTGGTGGCCCAGGCCTGTAATCCCAGATTCTTGGGAGGCTGAGGCAGGAGAATTGCAAGTTTGAGACCAGCCTCAGCAACTTAGGGAGGCCCTAAACAACTTGGTGAAACTGTTTCCAAAAAAAAAAAAAAAAAGGACTGGGGGTGTAGCTCAGTGGTTCAACACTCATGGGTCCAATCCTCAGTACCAGAAAAAGCTTTTATTATTTTATTGGCAATTTATTTCCCCGTTGGAATTCATCTTCTCTGCAATGCACTGGCCAGAGTCCCAGCCTGTTTTGTCCTTGGTATAAGCCAAAGAATGGCCAAAGCAGAATCCTAGTCCATTGCCCACAAGAGCTCTTAGCCTTAGGGGGGGATAAAGGGTCAGAAGGTTTATGTTGACAGAGTAATTTTCCCATCTCTGGGCCAATGATGCCATCTTTAGAAAAAATAGGGGGAAATGTGGGGATGCTGACTCAAGCCAAAACAAAAGCCTTCTTCCTTCCTATGATCCCTCCAGGTGGGAAGTTTCAGTTGCTTCAACAAGTGGGCTACAAGGGCACACCTGCTGTGTGCCACCTGCAGTACTTGTAAAAGCTTCTGAAGGGTTCCTTTTCTCCCTTCCCCCTCCACCATGGAGACTGTGGAGGAGAGTTTGTAAGGCAAACTGGATTGCAAGCACCAGGGATGGCTGCTCAGCCAGACCCTGTCTCCCGTGTTGCCCAGTCACTATACAGAGCTTCCCTGCCTGGGAGCCCACAAGGCTCCCGGGGGCCCACAAGGGAAGACGTTTTGTTATTATGAAGACGGTTTGTTACAGATTTTGGCCCTTCCTGCATGTTCTCTTTCTTGCATTACTGCTCAAAGAACACAAACTTCGTTTCTCCGTCATCGGAGCATCATTCAGAAACGTTCTGCTGATCTGTGAATCGTTGCCTGGCTCTTCGATCCAGGCAGTGTTACAGGTCCTCTGCCGGCAGGAGGAAGCAGTCCAACAAAATCTGAAGACCCAACACTTTCAGAAGCAGTGATGATCAGGCTGGCAAACCACAAAACCTTGCGAGCTGAATGGATGTCTTATTAAGCCTTTAGATGTAGTGTGGCCAGCGTCGTCGGCAGAGGAGACTAAAGAGGAAAAAAAGGGCTTGCAAGCGTTGTGTGGTAAATCACTGCAGACCCACTGGGAGTGACGGCCCTAGGAAGTGAATGATCTCGCCAGCAAAGAATTGACTGCAGTTTTCCAGAAACAGAACATGATGTACAACAGGGAGGACAGACCCCCAGATGTGAGTACAATCCTTTCAACACAGGATTTGGAGCAATGAGAGCAAAGCTAATTATTGTGACTGGTGGTGCTGCCTGACCACAGGCTCTGGGGGCCTGGGGGCCTGGGGGCTGTCTCTGGGCGGGTTGTGCATAATGCCTGTTTGGGACTTTTTTTTTTTGAAGGTCTCCTCTTAGAATATTTTGCCTGTCAGGAGACTTGAACGTAGTGGCTTTGAGATATTGGCACCAGGCAACATTATTATAAATCTGCAAGAAAACGGCAAAAGCAAACCTTAGACTCTTGCTGTGTAAAGAAAACCTATCACATCACAGACCAAGCAGCTGTGTGACCTTCTGGCATTTGTGATAAGAGACAAAGGAATTGGCAAATTGGAAAACAATGATGGGCAATGGGCTGGGAAGAGGGTATTCTTTCTTTCTTAGGAGGCTGAATTCCTTTCTGGATTTGGGGTGCTTATTATATACTTACACTCATGAATTTATTTCTTTTCTGGTTAAAAATGGGCAGCATGCTTGCACTTAAGGTTTTTCCTCCAGAACACTGTGTAAAATGAGCATTGTGACAAAGATAGGCTTGGGGCAGAAGAAATTCCTCACTGCCAGGAGTGGAAAATGTCTCGGATGGTAGCTATCTATTTGGAAGAGGAAGCTCGGATTTAATGAGGGAATGGGGTTGCTACCGCCAGGCCCAACAGGTTGGCAGTGGAGTTAACTCATTAACTGCAGGCTGGTTGCCACTTTTATTACACTGTAGGGGGTTGTCCATCCCCTCTTACCCCTTGGCCCTCACCTGGCTCTGTCCTGCCTGACCTGCTGATTTCCAGGCATCAGATGAGAAGCAGAATATCTTCTCACTCCAAGTGAGGGTGCAGGAGGAGATGGAAAGCAGAGAAGACTCAGCTGCTATGATCTCTTCATATCTACCCTGTGTGAAACACCTATAGGCAAATGCTGGAGGTCCCAGCAGTGAAGCTGTTACTGTACTTAAATTGGGAATGAGCTCAAGATGTCCAAGTACTGCTGTTAGCAGACTAGGGATTAGAATCTGGCGTTTTGTTCCTCATTTTGCAGGCAGTTTTCTGTGCAACTCTGATGGGGGTTGGGGAGTATCCAGATTATCTTTCTTCCCAGCCTACCTCTCCTGCAAGCTGTTCTATGGGTATATTGGTGGTGGTGGTGGTGGTGGGACAGAGGTGTAAAGAGCATTCTTAAATAGATGTAACTGAAAATTAAAAAACAAAATGACATTTCTGGCCAATCAAAATTTTCTCAACACTGTAGTGTTTTTCTAGAAAAATTAATAATGAGGGCTGGGGCTGGGGCTTAGCGGTAGAGCACTCACCTCTCACGTGCGAGACCCTGGGTTCAATCCTCAGCACCACATAAGAATAAATAAGTGAAATAAAGGAATTGTGTCCAATTACAACTAAAAAATAAAAAGATATGGGTTGGACATTTAAATGGCAATCGTCTAAACAAGGCTCACTCAGCCAGAAGTTCTTATGCAGGCTGAGAGGCTGAATTTGTTGCATGAGACAGGAGAGTAGAAGCGGAATGACCATCAATTCACCTGAAGCCAGTTGGACCTTGTGTCCCTGACTGAGGAGACTGAGCAATGTTGCTGGTGTGACCTCGGTTAAGATTGTGGCCAAGGTCTGTAGCCTTAAGAGCTAAGCTATGGAGTAGAATTTTAGGCATAATTTTTGTATAAACTGAGCCATTGGACTTAAATACCCATTGCATAAAAGGTTCTGGAATGGAATGGGGGGGGGGGTAAGGTCAAGTGTACAGAGATAACAAATGGGTAGAATGAAGGAGAGAATGGCTGAGAAAGGAGATCATTTAGGAACCCATGTCTAATGTTGTGTATTTTCCTTGCATTTGGGCCTGGAGTGATTTTGCAATATTTGGGTAAACCGAGCAGAAACTTAGTATAATTGGTTTAAATAAAAAGATGTTGTACTTGTGTTGATAAACACAGATCAGTTCCAAATACTATGACAATTTAGAAAGCATAAAGCCCAAACAGTGTGGCTATAGAAACTTTCAATGGAATTTCTTGCTCCATCTCTGTTTTTGAGTCTTAACTTTATTTTTTCATTGACCTTTGTGTTCAGAAATATTTCTGATGCATTCCAAGGATCTGTGACTGTAGCTACTCCAGGCATCCCTGCTTTGGATGTCACCTTCACATTTGTCATGCTTCTAATGAGTCTGGTGAGAAGGATGGGTTTTCCATATTCCTTCTATTTTTCCTCTCCTTGCTACCCTTTGCCTGCATTTTGGGTTAGAGATGAAAAACAATAAGAAAATGTAATGATGCACAAATTGCTTTGTGGGTATAACAATTATCTTTCTAAAGTTACAGTATTTATTTTTGGCTAACACTTTCTGTAATAAAATGCCATTTGTAAAACCCACCATAGTCCTAGCAGAAAGATGTCCTATGTCTGTTCTCTGTGTGGGCCCTTAACCCCAGTCTCCCAGAGTGGTTGACCAGATGACTGCTTGAGCCCAATATGGCCAAGACCTTTCCAAGCCAGGTCAGGGTAAAAGGCCTTAATCTCTAGAGACTGAAAGAATTACTGAGTTTGCTGGAAGCAATTGTAAAAGATGCTGGTATCTTCTAGACCTTTAGAATTAGAAGGTGTGGTGTGGTCTGGGTTGAAGAATGGTATTTTTTGGATACAGTGCTTTATTTCCATTTGTATATGTTGATGTTTTAATAAGTGGTTTGAAAAATAAAGAAGTCCTTACTTGTTCTCCTAGCAGGAGTCGGTTAGATCTCTAAGCATCCCTTCTTCTGCCCAAAGAACTCTTCCCCTTTGAAACAGTTATCAGTGGCTTGGGTTTGGTCTAATGGTGACTGGGGTTACTGAGAGGAGTCAATCTTTTAAATCCTGTTCATTTTGGTCATTGGGTGGAAAGAGCTTAAGTTTATTTCTGGTTGCTACCTCTGGACCACTGCCCAGAGTCGGGACTTAGTGTCCTGAAGGTGACTTTAGTGGGCCATTTGTTTTATTTCCATTAAGTGAAGAAGCAACACCATGAGCCTCTCCGGAATAGACAGAGCTGCTGTCAGGTTTAGCATCCATGTGGGTCCCAAGGTGGATTGTTTCGGCAATCTGGAACTGGGAGTCAGCGGAGCCTGTGCCCAGCTCTCCATCTGTTCCAGAACTCGGGAGACTGTACTATTACAGTAAGAACAGGGTAAAGGGAGACAATTGCAATGAGTGCAGCGAGAAAAACCCCAGGCAGAGATCCCATCTGTCACTCTGGGAGGTGTAGTCCACCAGCCTCAGCCTGCCTTTGTGAATCAGCAGGCCAGCTGCGGTGGACCCAAAAAACCTGGTCCAGAATGTTGTTGGTAAAGATGCACAGTATGGTTATCTGCTGGAGGTGGGTGTGTAAACCAGCTGGTGTCTGGGAGATTATATTAGGCCTCTTCTACCCAGGACTAAAATGCAGAGCCATCCTTGAAGTCCTGGTTATTCTTCTCTGGAGAATATTGCTGAAGTGGGAGAAAGAGAAAGGGGCTTAGCATATTCTGCCTTCCCCTAAGAAACTCCCTTCAGGGGTTTTGCCATGGAGAGTGTGCTGCTGCACATCCTGTCTCCCTTTGGCTTCCTTCCCTGCAGTGTGCAACCAGCAGAATGCCCTTAAGTCAGAGAAGAGGCATGGTTTCTTGGGTACTTGTGTGTCAGATGACACTGATTACAGCTTTGTTTTATAATCCCTAGGTCCTGAAGATGGCATAGTAAAAAAATAAAATTAGAAGGCACCTTCTAATGATCGTGAACATCTCTACCCGTGGATGCCAGCCCAGGCCAGTGGCTTCGTGTTGAGCCGAAGGAACTTGTCCACTGTATTGCCGAAAACCTCTTTCTCTCCTAATTCATGAGCCAGCAGGATGCGGTCGCTGCGCTTTCAGAACGCCTTCTCATAGCTGCGTACAAAGGCCAAGCGGAGAATGTGGTTCAGCTCATCAACAAGGGCGCCAAGGTAGCGGTTACCAAGGTAACAAGAGGAAAACGCTGCAACCATTCCCTGGGAACTAGCCTACCTCTTAACCATTGTCCATAAAACTGTTGTTTTTGATTCACAGCTTTCAAAGAACTGGCTTTCAGTCCAGTGACAGGTTTGGGGGAGAAAGGAGGGGTATTACGAATGCTTTCATTGCCATCTTTCAAATGAAATAACTTGTAATTAGCATTTGACAGTCTTTAAAATCATAGCATGTCTTTTTTTTCTTACCTACTTATTTTAGTCAACCAGACAAGAGATCTCTTGGGAGTAGTTGGGACACAAAAGCTCACTGGGCAGAGTGTGTGATAATCACATTAAACAAGCCTCCTAGGGCCAGCTAGTGGTTGGGAAAACCCCCACCGCACAGTCTCACTGTCCCTGTGTACACAGTGACAGCCTGGACCAAATGACCACCACCACCTCTATGGGTTTTGATTTTTATGAGTCAATGAAAAATGAATGGCAAACTATGGAGGACATTGCTTTTCCCTCACCAACAGATGATACCATGGCAGACAAGAGAACATACTGGTCAAAGGCAGTTTTGTAGCAAGGCCAACAAAAGGCAGTCCTGTGCAGTTAGATGTCAAGTTCAAATATACCTGTGGAGGATCACCAACGGTGAGCACTTACCTAGCTTGTAGCATACAGCCCTCTAGTGGAGGTTCTCTCCTCACCACCACTGTGAAAATGAGGAAACTGAGGCACAAAGGGACTTGAGTAACTTGCCCAGGCAAAAATGCAAATTTACCCATGGAGTCAGACTGCTAAGCCCACCCTCCAGGCCACCCCAGAGAGCTGTAGAGATGGAGAAGGAGTTTAATTTTCAAACAATATCATCTGTTAACATCTAGAGATTGGCCAGCTCACATTTTCAGTTACTCATATATCCTCTCTGTATTGCATACAGGTTTCTAAAAAAAGACCATCTTGAGCTGCTTATAGGTCACCCATGAAGCCTAACAGTGGGATGCACAGAAATAAATTGTTTATAACTGAATATGGAGTGAGCCTTAACCCTGGCTTCTTGTGATCTGCCCATAGTGTTCTTCAGGACCCAGGCAATCACAAGAGAGTGTATGAACTCTGTAGTTACAGCATGTGCTCACAGGTTTTATTTCTGCTTTGTTCGCTGATTGTGCAAGTTGCTTAGCTTTTTTGAGCTTCAGTTTCTGCAACTGTAAAACAGGTATATAACAACCCTGAAAAGCTAGTAATGATAGCAATAAATTAAAGTACATAATCTGCAAGTTTTTTTTTTTTTGGTACTGGGGATTGAACCCAGGGTTGCTTAACCACATCCCCAGCCCTTTTATATGCTGTATTGAGATAGGATCTCACTGAGTTACTTAGAGCCTTGCTAAATTGCTGAGTCTGTCTTTGAACTCATGATCCTCCTCTCTCAGCCTCCCAAGCTGCTGGGATTACAGGTGTGCACCACCATGCCTGGCTGGCATCTGCAAGTTTTTAACATAAACTTCATAAGGCCCTGAGCTTGGTTCCCAGTGCTACCATAAACAGCAACAACAATGAGAGCTTAAGCTTACTTCTGTGCTACCTCTGGACCACTGTACTGAGTAAGGACTTGGTGTCCTGAAGGTGATTTTAATGGGCCATTTGTTTTCCTTCCATTAAGTGAGGAAGTGACATCATGAGCCTCTCCTAAATTGATAGAGCTGCAACAATGGAAACAAACAGCTTTACTGAGGTATACTTTACAGGCTGAGAAGCTCACCCATTATTAATTGTACAATTCAGTAATTTCTGGTGTATTTACAGAATTGTGCAACCATCACCACTGCTGCAGGCTGAATTGCCCCACAGCTTTTATATGTTGAAACCCTGGTCCCTGATGTGGTAGAATTTGGAGTCGGGCCCTTTGGGAGGTAATGAGATTTTGGTGAGGTCATGAGCATGGGTCCCAATGATTGGTAGATAAGGGTCCTTATAAATAGAGATACCAGAGAGCTTATTCTTCCTCCCTGCCATGTGAGGACACTGAGACGGGGGTGGGGGGGTGCATCAGCAAGCTAGGAAGAGAGCTCACCAAAACCCACATGCTGGCACCCTGATCTTGTACTTCTCAGCCTCCAGAACTATGAAAAATTTCTGTTGTTGGCAGCATGGGAAGACTAATTCAACCATGTTCTAATATTAGAACTTTTCTATCACCCCGGTAAGAAACTTCATAGCCACTTGCTATCAATCCCCATTTCTATCCCCAGCCCTTTATGGGGTTTTTTGTTGTTGCTACTGAGGATTGAACCCTGGGTCCTTCGTCACTAAGCTACATCCCCAGTCCTTAGCTAAGTTGCTAAGGCTGGCCTCAAACTTATGATCCTCCTGCCTCAGCTTCTCAAGTTGCTGGGATTTCAAGCATGTGCTGCCCATCCTAGCCCATCTTAATTTAAGTTTACAATTCAGGGGCATTGAGTACAATCATATTGTTGTACAACTTGTCACCATCCGTCTCCAGAAATTTTTTTCATCTTTCCAAACAAACTCTATACTCATTAAACACTAACTCCTTATTTCCCCTTCTTGGTACCTGGAACCTACCATTCTACTTTCTACCTTCCTGAATTTGAGTACTCTGGGTACCTCAGGATGTGTGGAATCCTACCATATTCATCCCCTTGTGACTGACTTATTTCACTTAGCACCATGTGTGGTATATAGCATGTTTAGGGTATCATTCCTTACTAAGGCTGATTAATATTTCATTTTATGTGAATATCGCATTTTGTTTATCCTTTCCAGAACCAATGGACACTTGGGTTGCTTCCACCTCTTGACTGTTGGGAATTGTGCTGTATAAACTGGGTGTAAATGAGTGTTTAGGTCTTTGCTTTCATTTCTTCTGGATATGCACCAAAAAGTGGAATTGCTGGATAGTGTGGTAGTTCAATTTTTAAATTTTTGACAGAACTGCTTACTAGTTTCCATGTTTTTCACAGCCTGCTCTCCACAGGGTAAATCTTAGATATGCCACTATCATTGAACATAGATCGAATTGTCAGCTATAATGGCTCCAATCTCCCATTGTGTGGATAAACTGTGGATTTTATTCAGTCACCTCCTTATGAGCATTTAGGTTGTCTACAAATTTTGCATTCTTTGCTATCATAGAGGATGCTAGGTGTCTTTCAGATTTAGGAGAATATCTGTTAGGTAAACGCCTAGAAAGAGAATTCCTGGGACAAAAGCCATAGTCATTGATATGTTAATGATTTCCACTAGATAGGAGGTAAATGAGTGTGGCCCATCAAGAGTTTTTAGGAATAAAGTTCAATGGATCATCTGGGTGAAGAGCCAGGGCTTGGGTGGGACACTGTCTGAAAGACACATCTTGGAGATGGTTGGGTCAGGGCTTTTAGAAGCGTAGAGTCTGAGTTTCATTATCTGAATGAAAGTTTGAAAATGCTTGGGAAAGACCCAGTTGGGTGTAGGTGGGGTGATTATATTCATCCAAAACAATAACACCTTTAATAATGAAGGAATTTAGGTGACTGTCCCTCAAAGTCCTGTGTGGTATAGGTTTGGTCTCCCCTGTGATGCTGGAGGTGGAATCATTAAGAGGCAGGGCTTAGTGGGCATTCTTCAGATCAGTGAAGGGCATGCCCTTGGAGAGAATGACAGGTCCTCACCTGGACTTCCTTTTTTGCTCTCTGTCCATGAGGCAATTGGTTTTGCTCCACCAGGTATTGCTCCATATGTGTTGCCTTTCCACCAGAGGCCTAAAAACCATAGGCTCACCCCATCGCAGAGCAGAAAGAACTCTTCAGCCATGAGCCAAACCTTTCCTCTTTACAAGTTATCTCAGATATTTGTTGCTGTAACAGAAAGCTGACCAATACAGGTTTCTACTAATAATTGTGCTTTCCAGTATGCATAAACAGATAGCCCCAGGCAGACAGGAATACACTGCCCACTCTAGTAGAAAGGCACCATTTTCATTCAGCTGGGGACCCTGTCCACTTCAAATTATGGGTTTGTGTTTAATAGTAGGACTTACTGCAAAGGTGTGGGTCAGAACTTGGGTTTCCCAGATTGTTTTGTAGTCATTTCCTTTAAGCTCACAGTTCCCAGGAGGTAGGTGGGGGAGAAAATAGATGCTTACATGTAAAGGGGGTGATGGCCAGTGCCTCATTGGAGGGTTCTTCCTGCCAAGGAGGGTGTAAGACACCTGAGAAATTAAAGTCTAGAATAACTAGTGAAGAACGAAAGACAAAGAATCAAATATATTTTCAAAAACGGAGCCCTGGTAGGTTTAGTCCACACAGGAGCTGGAATTAGACAAGGCAAAATGGCTCCAGCAGTTTATTTAAGGGGGTTCATCAAAGGCAGGGATGAGATTTCAGGGGTGGATTCTTGCTTCATGCTGTCTTGAAGTCAGCAGGTCGATTGGCATCTTGGCAGGTCACCCCATCTCTGCTGTGTGGGACCTTTGGCAGAACCAAATACGAATTCATAATGTGTCAGGGCAGTTAACCAGAAGGAATGTCCACTGGTCATTCCCAGACACCAGATGTTCCTATTCAATAGACTCAATGCATGGTGGACCACATGCAGCCCATGGATGGCTCACAACATAGAAGGTTGCTAGTCAGGTGAAAACTTTCACTGGAGAATGTGCTGTAGGTCATATGCTTTTTCCAGAAGACTCTATGCACTAACTTATTAAAATACATAATTTCTTAAAAATACTTAAGTTAGTAATGACTTAATAAGCAGTTACAAAGCTTTACTAATCTTTCTCCCATGCTGTCTCCTCACCAGGGTTTCCCATCTGGTAGGCAACCTGTTACCTGTTTCTTTGAGATGTTTCCCTACTTTTCTTTCTTTGTACTGGAGATTGAACCCAGGGTGCTTTCCACTGAGCTACATCTCAAACCTCTTTTATTTTTTCTATTTTGAGACAGAATCTTGCTAAGTTGCTGAGGCTGGTCTCAAAATTGCAATCTTCCTGCCTCAGCTTTCTGAGTCACTGG